AGATGGCGGCTCACACTGAGCCTGGTTCTGCTGGAGGTTTCTTCCTGTTTGTAGGGATTTTTCCTCCCCACTGTCACTACATGCATGCTTAGAATGAGGAATTGCAGGGAGTCGATAAGTCCTCGCAATCAGCTAGTTTTCCTTAGACAGAAAAACTTCAAAAATATGATTGTTTTATCTGTGTAGATAACTTGAATACTTTTCTAATTGCAGTTTTTCTCTGTGTGAGTCTCTCCAGGTTGAAATAATTTACTGGGTAGAACTGAACCCGCATTTTACTGGACCAATTTAATGCCTGCTAATTTAGCAGAATGACTCCAGTGAAAATAGAGCTGTTACATTACAAGATAAGGCACGAATTTGCGTGTTTACGTGTTGCCTAGCAATAGTCCTGACTCCTGCTAAATGTTAACTTCCGCAAGAACAGCATCACTGACAACACTTCATCAAGCATTTCATCAAGCAAGCTTACAAGTGCTCTATGATGGCTGGAAAACTGGTCGGACCAGTGCAGAGATTTTATGAATTTCAGTCCATCTTTATTTTCCGAGAAGCCATTGTCGAACTTTGAACGTCAAACTTCCACCTTTGGCATGTAAACAAAGCAACTGTATGTATGTCGCTTTTCTAAGCTGCCTAGCAATTATGAAACTGGATGTGTTTCAACCTGTCCTTGGCCCCCGTTCGACCGGCTGCTAACAGATTGCTGCTTTACACCATTGTGAAGGAGACAAGAAGCAATTAATTTCATTTCCATTATGAAGTAGAAAGTTCCATATTCTGAAGTCTAACTTGGAAATTCTGAAATGTCCAGTCGACTAACCAGGAGCTCAGATCTAATATTCCTGCTGCACATTTAAAACAGGTAAGGAGCAGAAATACGCTGTTCATTTGCATTTCTAATAGTTTGATACACAACCTTTTTATGTACAGTACACATGTTTGAAGACAATAAACATTGAAAAGAGTCATTTAAGAGGAGGTTAAGGTAAACACTAAGATGGGTCTGGTTGCCTTGTAGTGTAATAAACAGCTCTAAAGCAACCATTGCCCCATTTCCACCTGCCCTCTGAAACCGATCTATGCCGAGTTTGGACTGAGCTTGGATCAGTTAACCGGGCTGAGCTTGGTTCTTACGACCATTTACACGCAGTGATGGGAGTAACGGCGTTGAAAGTAACGGCGATACTAACGCCGCTACCTTTTTTTAGTAACGATTAATCAAAATTATTACTGTAACTATAACGCAGTTATAATTGCCGACACCCCGTTACTGCACGTTACTCAGGTCGCACAATTAACCTTTTTTCATGATAGGACTCGTGCGCGCGTCATGAGAGAGGGGAGGATGGAGAGTGAGGAGTAGAGCAGGGAATATTAGCCCGAACCCGACGGGGCCCGAGAGGTCCTGCCGGGTTCGGGCGG